CAGCTGCTGCTGCAGAGGCTGCTGCAGATGCTGCTGCAGGCTGCTGCAGCAGCTGCTGCTGCAGCTGCTGCAGCCCTGTGCTGTGCATGCACCGCCCGCTGCAGCACTAGCTGCATGCAGAAACGCATGCATATCTCTGTTTGTTTATTTAATGTTTTTGTCTGTCTGATCTTCACTGCGGCCTTCGTCTTTTTCTTCTTCCTTTTCTTCATCTTCTTCTGCTGCTGAATCTGTCTCCTGCTGCTGCTGCTGCTGCTGCTGCTGTGCTGCATGCTTGCTATCCCAGGCATCTGCTAGAGCGCATTCACGAGTAAATTGTTTATCTTCTGATTTTAAACAAAAGTTTAATCTCTCTAAAAGAAAGTTTAAATTATAATTATTTTCTTCTTTCTGCTGTATACGCACCTTTCGTGGCACCACTACATCAAGCAGCTCTTCTTGACACGCAAAGCCCCCAAACGCACATTTGCTGCTGCTGCTGCTGCTGCTGCTGCTGGATGTGCTGCTGCTGCTGCTGCTGCTGTTGCTGTTGTTGCTTTCGCAGATCTTGCATCCGTAACTTCGAATAGAGGCCTCCTTTGGAGCGCTGCTGCTGCTGCTGCAGTTGCTGCTGCTGCTGCTGCTGCTGCAGCTGTTGCAGTTATTGCTGCTGCAGCAACATGAGCTGCTGCTGCATGCATCTGGGGAGCATATATTTATATTTTCTGTTCGCTTTGTGTTTGCTTCTGCCTTGTATGGGGTGTCTGTATTGGACTGCTGCTGCTGTTGCTGCTGCTGCTGTTGCTGCTGCTGCTGCTGCTGCTGCTGCTGCTGTTCTTGTTCTGTTGCTGCTGTTTGCTGAAGATTATATTTTTGTTGCCTTGCCTTCTCCATTGTATGTAAAAGCAGCAAATGAAACCTTTTTAAAATGCTGCGCATGCACAGCTCCTGAAGAGGTGGGAACAGCCTCCCCTTCTGATGCATTTGCTGCTGCTGTTGCTGCTGCCGCTGCAGCTGCTGCAGCACCTCTTGCTCTTGCTGCTGCTCTTGCTGCTGATCCTGTAGGTCCTCCTGCTGCTCCTCTTGCTGCTGGTGCTGTTCTTGCTGCTGTTCTTGTTGCTGCTGCTTTTGCTTTTGCATCCGTTGTTGGTACTGCTGCAGCAGCTTCAGCTGCAGCACGGGATCCCCAGCAGCAGCAGCAGCAGCAGCAGCAAAGTAAGGATGCTGTCGTATCTCTTTAAACCCATTAGCCCCCAATCTTTCACATGGATTCACCGCTAATAAACGCAACACTAAGTCCCTCGCTAAGGGGTCAAAGTCAGGAGGAAATTCTATTACACCCGACTTCACCTGAAAAAAAATAAACAAATAAACAAATAAATAAATAAATAAATAAATAAATAAATAAATATAATTCAAAATAAGATCAAGAAAAAGTTATTAAAATATTAAAAAAGGGGTTAAAAGAAGTCAGGAGGAAGTTCTATTACACCGGGCTTCACATTAAAAATTAATTAATTAATTAATTAATTAATTAATAAATATCAATAAATAAATAAATAAATATAATTTAAAATAAAATAACACAGAACCTAGGGGGTGAATAAAAAGAAAATAGGCTAAAAGATGCGCAGGAGAATTAATCAAACAATAATTAAATAATAATTAAATAATAGTTAAATATTAATTAAATAACAACTGAATATTAATTAAATAATAATTAATAATTAAATATTAATTAAATAATAATTAAATACTAATTAAATACTACTAAAACAATACTAAAATAGTAAAGAAATTAAAATTAATAAATAAATTAATTAATAATTAAATAGTAAATAATAAATAAATAATAAATAAATAATAATTAAATAATATTTAAATAATAATTAAATAAAAAATATTTATTTATCTACATCAACGTACACGCAACAAAGTAAAATAATCTGTAGAGCCGGTGAAGGGCGGGTTTCCTAAGAAGACAAAATAAACAAAAAAAGAATAAAATAAAAATAAATAAATAAATAAAATAAACAAACAATAATAATTGAAATAAACAAATAAAATTAAAAGAAATACAACAAATAAACAAAATAAACAAAATAAATATAGACATAAAAACAAAGAAACACAAAATGAATAAAATATACACAAACAAAAGCATAAAATAAACAAAGAGAAGCAATTATAAAAGAAATAAACAAAAACAAAATAAAAACAAACAAAGAAATACAACAGACAATACCTAAGATGCATCTCTTTATTGTTTTTTCTTCTTTTATTTCAAAGAGCTTTAAAAGACAACTGAGTTGTGTGCATGCATCCACACCAGTAAAAATATATACAATATATATATATATATATGCATAAATAAATAAATATATATATATATATACACCAAGAAGACAGAAAGAAGAAGAATAAATGAATGCATGCATACAAATGCATTTTATTCGACTTGCTAAAATGCCACACACATACATATTATATATAAATAAAAATAAATATATATATATATATAATAAATAAATAAGCGGCATAGAAGTATGTCTTAAATTGCATGCAAATAGCGCATGCATGCATGCATGCATGCATGAAGAAGTACCTGTGAGTAGCTGAAAAATAGTGCAGCCAAGGCTCCACAAATCCCTCAACTTTTTGCTGTTTTTATTATTTATTGCTTCAGGAGGCATAAATTGAGGGGTGCCGATATAATGTAAGAAGGTCGGGCGGCGTACTGAAGGTTTCTTTTGTCTAAACGCAATAATAATAATAAATATTAAATTATAAATAATTATTTACTTTCATTTCGTTGTACATCATAAATCATCAATGTATCAAAACAATATGTATATGCTGCACGCCCTGCTGCTACACCTGTTACACTTCCTGCTGCACTTGCTGCTACATTTGCTGCTATACTTGCTGCTATACTTGCTGCTGCTGCTGCATTTGTTGCTGCACCTTAGAGCTGCGCTGTGTGGGTGGCATGCGCCTAATCCAGGTGTCTGTACTTCGGGATGGTTTAAATCCACAGCACTGCCGAAGTCGATAACTTTTAAAACTCCTTCATGAGTCAGTACGAGGTTTTCGGCCTTAGAACATCCACAAAACAAATGCAATTAATATATGCTTTAATGCACCGACAAAAAGAAACTAAAAGAAAACAGATATTTGATAAGTCTTTACGTAAAATTGCAAATATTTATATACATATATATACATATATATATACATATATATATACATATATATATATATACATTTATATATATATATATATACATATATATATATATATAAAATGTATATCTATATATGTATATATACATTCATATATAAGAACATTTATTTATATGTGTATTTATTTGTATGCACCTGTGTACGCGTACATATACAATATATATATATATATATATTGTATATGTATATGCATATAATATATAGATGTATACTATATATTATGTATATTTATATATATTATTATCACGTTTGCATGCATTTCTTTAAATGTGTGTTCTTAAACCAACACTGTACACTTAGGCGATGTATCCAAACAAACAAACGAACAAACAAACAAACAAACAAAACAAATAAACAAACAAATAAACAAACAAACAAACAAACAAACAAACAAACAAACAAAAACAAACAAACAAACAAACAAACAAACGAACAAACAGACAAAGCATATAAATAAACAAACAAACAAACAAATACTAGAAGCTAATGAGTGCATATCTAACCTTAAGGTCTCTATGAACGATATTTTTGGAGTGTATATACTCTAAAGCATCTACGAGCTGTAATATTAATTGTCGCGCCCATTCTCTGTTCATTAAACCTGCAAACTTTACTCGTTCCCAGACTTCTCCTCCTCTGATTGAAGAAAACAAACAAACAAATATCATCAATAACAATATCAAAAACCATGGATGCACTCTGATATCCATGCATGCATGCGGTACATGCATGCATCCACGCATGCGTGCATACTGATGTATAGGCTATATTATGTGCGCATGCATGCATGCATGCATGCATGCACTGACTTTATGATGCACGCAGATATTCCGGTTTTTTTTCGAGTTGTTTTCTGCTGCCGCTGCCGCTGCTGCTGCTGCTGCTGCTGCTGCTACTGCTGCTGCTGCTGCTGCACTTACTTGGCTAGCTCGTAGAGGAAGCAAACTCTGAATTCATCTTTGAATGTCTCTAACAAACGAACAACATTGGGGTGTCCCGGATCATTCAAACGGAGCATCGCGTGGCGCTCCATGCGCACATCGGCGACTTTGTTTAGACGCATAACATCATTCTAAAGAAAGAAAAAAGTAAAAGAAATAAAAAAGATAATAATATTTATTATTTAGTATTACTATTACTATTATTATCAACAATAAAAAACACTTCAAGTTATTTCAGTCAAAGACAAGCAAAACATATGCAATACACCGGTGTGAGAATAAAAACAAACATAAAAATAAAGTTTATTAATAGCGATATTATAAAAAGCGTATGTAGAGACAGGAAAACAAATAAAAGTAATAGACAATTACAAACAGCATAGGAACAAACAAAAACATAAAAACAAATAAAAAGCAAATAAAGACATATATATATAGGTAGCGAGGCATACAGAGATATACATATATATATATATATATATATATATAT